TCTTCCGACTGCTTTCCAGGGGAACCCCCCAGAGTATCATCTCTTGTGTTTCTTCCTATCTAATAGTCAGCAGATGCACCAGATAATTAAACAATTTTAGCTGACAAATTAAATCTCTTTCCTTGTCCCCATCTATTTCACTGACAGCACTCAGAGCAAGCCAAGGAGCAAACAGACTCCTTCCCCTCTTCCTACCACAGCACCTCCTTACGCTCAGACTCGGGAACGAGTTGTCAACGGGCTGCTCACCATTAGACAACCCATACAGTGCTTGTTAGCATCCGCTCCAGACAAGCCAAGTCACATCTAATTTGCAGCGTTTCCTCGGCACTATGATGACACTGCTGAAGCTAAACGTCTCCGCGGTCCTGTCAGATGTCGTGGACTCGGCTGCTTCCCCAGCAGTGCTGAACACAAGAGGTAGACACTAGGAGATACTTATTTGCAGCTAGAGGTGCCATCGAAGGCACAGCCATTTCCATTATTTTTGCTGCTAGCTGGCTCAGAAAACCTATTACTTTCTTTCACAACTAGCATGTTAATTTTTCATGCTCAGCCTAAGCTTGGGCTAGCACTGCTGCTCAAAGATGACCAAAGCGGGCATGGCTGGGATTCCTGATGATGGACTGTTCCCTGCAGCTGCATGGTTAGGAGCAGCACAGCAACTGTTCCCTAAAACTTGGGAAAGTACACAAAGTACGCTGGGACGGGTACAGGGTGAGCACCCAGCACTGAGGGCTAATGCCATTGCTGCACGCAGGAGAGCAGCTGGGGGAAATTCTGCTGAAAGGATGGGGACCACTCACGCATGTGGAGGCAACAAGAGAGTATGAGCAGACCAGCTTTGATACAGCTGGAGGTGCATGAAATCTCTCCTCATCCTGCTTTAACTGAAATTTTGTTCCTAAGCTCCTTGCTGGGAAAAAAACCCCAACTTTTCAGATACATTCCCTTTGTCTCTCCAGAGAAAAAAAAAATATTTCCAAAAAACCTCTTTTTTCAAACAGCTTATAGCTATCCACTAGCCGACAGAGAGTTAAAACACCCCGTGAGCACGACAGGGAAGAGCTGAACATCCTTTCTTCGGTGGTTTGGGCAGGAAGTATAATAGAAGGCTCAATTATTGCTTTAAAAATATGACAGGAAACTTTCATTTTCACATCCCATTCACAGATAATGAAAATGTACGAAGGAGAAGGAAAATCTGACAGCATTAATGAGAGGACATTCTTGAAAATCAGAAACAATGGGAAGGAATGGGCAGAGAGACAGAAATAATTACCATAGCAGCAGTGTTTGCTGCACTGTTATTAAGGTTTGTCAGAGTTTCAATGATTTTTTTAAACTGCTCTTTTTTTTTTAAGAATATGTAAAAATGTTCTATGTTGAACTTCTGCACAAAAGAGTTTAGTTGTAATTTTTTAAAAATCATTTCAGCAAAAATGTTTCAGATTCCTACTTTACGAGTCTGAATCTTAACTCAGGCTGAATTATTATTTTTTTTAACCAGCAACTTGGTGCTCATCCATCTGTACTCAAAAGCAATTGGGTGTTTTTAACAATGCATTTCTATTCAACTGTAGAAATGATTTTCCTAAAGTCAGGTTGGCTAATGAGAAATGTGGCAGCATGGACCGTCTTCAGCAAAGCCTCGTATCTGCAAAGGTCATGAAAGAAGATATTCGGCTGAGTTACAATAATCTCTGAGGTAATGTCATCTAATGACGGTGCTGGAACACTATAAAAAACCAGGACTCCTTGATTGTGTCACCAAATTACTGACTTAATATATGGCCTTGGGCAAATCACTTAGTAGCGCTCCTCCTCAATTTACCCACTTAGAAGACATGTGAGGTGCCTCAGCCTCTAAGCTGTGGTGGGGTGCAGTTAATATCTGTAATGTGGAGATGCTCCAATGTAACAATACAAGTACAAAGAAAACCCCACCAAAACCCAACAATTTTATAGTAACGAAATAAGTTGGTATGAAAAATATCTTTGTGTGCAAGTCTAATCGATTCTCTGCTTAACAAGCTCTCAGATTTGCTGTGTGTGCACTGGGTATCTCTGAGGACTAAATCCCCAGTTTGACTCTTTTGAGACCAGAGGGCTTGGGAGAAACGGGGCATTTTTAGGACAGAATATGGTGGGTAGGAAGCCAGGTAGAAGGAAAAGTGCCACAAGGTACTGCTGAACGGATGGGTAGTAAGGTCTTGAAATGGAAGCGCTCCTCTTGTGTCTGAGATGAAAGTAGATGGGCAGGGGGGAAGAGGAGTAAAGCCACCGATCTGGAATGGGAAATGCAAAAACTCCTCCTGCTTTATGACGATGCAGAAAAAAGAACCGTCTTGACTAACTTTGTCTACCTTCAACATAGCTGCCATGCCTTTAGGCTCTTTTAAGCACAGAGCAATATTTGACGTTAGCATTGTAGTTAGCCCAGGTAAATAATATAATACTTTAAGTCAATGCCCAGCACAGAACTGTACATTTTTCTTATTGTTTACATATATTGCACCTTTTCACATTCACGTCTAAGTATTTTGTATCTATACTTTACCTCTACTATGAACCATCCTTTCTCAGCCACGAGAGTTAGAGGAGCTACAAATTTTCCTTTTTTGTAGAAAAACCTGTCTGGAATATCCTGTATGTTATAAACGTGCATGTGTTCCACAGCTTTCAATTTTTGATATATCTGTGAAGAAAATAAATGTTAGGACATCATGTGGCTACAAAGAGCATGTGCACACCTATGGGTACCTGGAAACACCTGAATTTGTCAAACGGTTAATCCCCTTTAATGGCTAACCATCAGCACATTCAAACTGGGACTTTGCCGGTCCAAAGATGACAACTGTGCAAAACCTGCTTCTATGGTTTAGAAGATTTGAAAACTTGATCATAAACACAGAGAAATGCATAAATTAATGTATTATATATACCTACAATACATGCATTCTCAAATGTGGGCATGTGAGTATATCAAAATACAGAGATAGACCAGCAAAAAACAAATCATCACAGGAGACAGTAAGCTCTTAAGTGATGAAGGATTCTCAAAGGCATCATGTGGATGGGGTACAGATGTGGAAAAGGGATATCACCTTTGGCCTCTGCCACTAGTTCCCTCTTTGTGCTCTTGAATGAACAATTAATGTCACCTCACCTGTGTTTCTTACACCTAACCAGTCATTCCCTATCAAAGGGATTGATAGTGCTTAGTTATCTGCTTCATAAGGATGTTGTGAGATTAATCAGCCAATGCCTGCAGCTCTGAAGCTGCACAATGCCATACAAGTGGTTTATTAATATTAATCATACTGTCTGGAATATAAATCACACAAATGTGGTTAAAACCCAAATTATTCAGAAAAATATTTTAAATGCCTTAAGAAGATGTTCATATGCCATAGAGAAGGCGGTTATTTGTGTCCCCAGAGCTTATATCACTCTTGCTTAGATAAAAATAATTGTCAGGAATAAATAGCATAGAATGCAGCAAGAATGAAAGGTTCTTCACTAGCCTTTTAGCAAAGTCCCCCATGCATGTGTCACGTATATACTTGCACAAGAGCTTTGCATCGATATGCAGTCACCGTAAGGAGGGCACCAGGGTGTGATGGCTAGAGTCATCCCAACCCTCTCACCATGACCAGGACCAGAGAGTGGTCCTGGTGTTTCACCAGTACTCCTGGAGCTTCAAAAATGGGACAACTCATACACGTGATACCACTACATTATGATACAATCTAATTCCTAAACATGGCTCTTCAAAGTGAATTAAGAATAGAGGAATCTGGTTATTGGGAAACAGAAAATCAAACTTTACTTCGCTTAAAAAAGCAGCACTTCAGTAAGAAGTCTTAAAAAGAAATGAAGGAAGAAACCAAAACCATGGTGCGAGGCATTGTATTTTATTCTCTTTAGGGATATTAGGCTGTTTAAAGAGAGAAGCACATGCTTAAGAGCTTTGTCGGATGAAACCCCATGTCTATGTGAAGTCACAAGTTATACTTGCCCTTGTTTGTGGGGATCTCTGAGTTAACGCTGAGGAGAGCATAGATAAACGCTGTGATCCCCTGCGGGAACTTTGAGTGATAGGCTTGTGCATGCCGCTAAGACAGCTTTCAGTTCTGGCACTCATTTGAAATATTCATAATATCATAGCTATACAATTCCTGGAGAGCCTGTTTGGGCGCAAAAATTAGCAAACACTCTCTTCAAAAAAATTGCACAAGCTACAATATAGTGGAACTGGCTAAAATATAATATAGAAGATAAAATTATTCTCCTGGAGCATGGACTGCCGATTTTGTACATCCACTCATCTATATTCTGAGGACAGCAATAATGACTTCTCAAGCACTGGTTTCTGGTTAAACTATAATGTACCGGACTATTAGTTACAGATGCTGCATTTTCATTCTTTTCAAGTGGTTTTCTTTTTTTTTTTTTTCCTGTATTGTTTTAATTTGTCACTCAAAATCCTGCAGTTCTAGCCTTGGGCTTTTATGGTTGATTCAATCCAATATGCTTATTCATCAAAATTTTTCAAAGGAGAATATTGTAAGAATTTTTTTTTTTGTACTTCTGGTCTAATGGGAATTTACTGCAATATGAATGTCTGACTTCCTCCAGATCATTTGAAAATCCCAGCCAGAGTGTCAATAAATTGACTAATATATATATAAAATCCTAAAAATGGATTTTGAGCTAAAATCTTTTAGTTATTTATCAGAACTACATAGTGATGGGGTTTGAAAGCACACGTCTGTGTCAAGTAACTGTGAAAGACCATGCTTTTTAATTTCCCTGGTGTGACTTTCCTTCAGAAACCAGCATCACAACAGTGTCACAGGATCCAGATCTGACTCCTGGTAAGAGCCTGAGGCTGATTTTTACACACTTCTCTGAGAGCAGAATTTGGATGTTATGAGCAAAGAAAAGACACAATTGTCATAAAAAACACAGAAACACAGAACCAAATAAATACGAATAATCTGTACTTACCTCCGCATGCTTCTCTGGAGCTGGCCAGAGGCTCACAACAGGACCTCGGTCCTTCATTTGTATGGTATCACTCATATTGATATAGTTTTTCAGCTCAATCACTTTGTCTGCCCAAGAGATGTCTGTCATCCCATGATCGGAGAAGAGGAGCACGTTGATGTCATGCTGAAGACCCTTGCTCTGTGAAGCGAGTGCACGACAGCTGTTACAGCCGGGAAAGTGTTACGCACCATCTGTGCCCACTGGCAAAGTTTAAAACCCATTAGACCCCCACTGATCTAGCAGAGGTTGGCCAGAAGGAGCATGGCCACAAATGCCCTGCGGCGTGCTTTGCCACCGTCTGTAATGGTGGATGTCCGCTTGCTGCCCTGGAAGAGTCTAAGAGGTTAGCACCAAAGAGAGATTTGCCAAAATAAATCCACCCCCCCAACTAAATAACCAGAGGCTTAATAACATTCCAGGCCCACAAACCAGTTGTCCCAGTTGGTCTTAGACAGGATTTTTATCCCACTGTTCATCATCTGTAGGCCAAAATGGCTGGGGAAGAACAACTTTGACATGGTACCACCTGTGGTAGGGGTGTTACCCTCTTCTCCTCCCAAACACAATCACTTAGCATTAGAGCTTTTATAATTTAGTGAAACTGGAAATACATTTTCCTCTTCTCACCGAAACGCCTGAAAATCTCTAACATGCATTTATCATTGTCAGAAATATTCACAAAATTGACATTTACCCAGAAACTTGGTATCCTCCTTTTCTCACTGCAAAATCATCTAGATGATAAAGTTTTTTAAAGCAAAGTTTAAAGTACAGAGGTCTGGGTCATGTCATAAAAAACATTATAAAGGTTAATTGTCTGATTCCACAAACTTTAGGAAGTAAGCGCTTTTGATTCATTTGCCTACTATGAAGCCCAGCTGGCAACAGTATTTATAAACAGAGCAACACACATATTGCTTTATGGCTTCCTGAGGCTATCGGTATAATAATCCACTAGGGCAATTACAATGCCATCGACAAAAATAAAAATCAAAGGAATGGTGCCTTAACTTCCACATGATCTTGGTAGCCTCCATTTCGCAGGAAATAAAAGTTTACAGCCAACACATCCAATTAACAGGCATTAAATAGGTTCTCGGCAGTGCCTATTTAGTGTTTTAAAAGCCTTTTCTGAACACACTTGGGAGCTGGGTTTTTGGATACCACTCACCTTGATAAGCGCGATCATGTTGGTCAAGGCTTTGTCCACCTCCTTCAAAGCATTCTTCCGCTGCTGGGATGAAGGGCCGTAGTGGTGGCCTTCCACGTCAATGCGCTCGTAGTACACCGCGGCCATTTCGGCACTGCCATTGCTGGAGGTGGAAGGAGGGGAAGGACTGAGAGGTTGATGCACATGGGGACCATGCGGGCACCTTCCCCTCCTGGCTGCTGGCGTTACTGCCCTAACCAGCATGTAGAGCCACAAAACCCCAGAGGAACATTTTTCTGCTTACAGCCTGAGCTTTCCTACCCGCTGTTGCGCGGCTGGGCTTGTTATTCCTGCCCAGAGTCGCCTGGGTTTGCTTGAGACTCCCATCAGAGATGCCAGGTAGAGACTGCCATGTGCAAACACAGGCTGGTCTGGCAGCCCTCTACTACTCTTCGAATTAGCAAGGAGGCTCTTCCTTTAATGACAAAGACAGACCCAGAAGAAACACTGATTTCTGTGCTGAATGCCCTTATTAAAAGTATTGTGGGAATTCCCACCAGTTAAATGTGCTTTAATTAAAGTTTGGCATTTCTGGCTTTCTCCTGTGTGAGGTCTTCCAAACCACCAAGGTCAACTCAGGACGTGCTCTTCCATGACCTTGCAAAATCCCGAACGGGATGAATTGCGGTGAGATTTTAGATGGGGTTTTTATTCAGGAATATGACCAAAGGAAAACTAAGGTAATCTCAGAGTTGCACAAGTCTAGCTGATCACACGTTTCTGCACTGAATGCCCTCAGCCTAATTAGTGGGGATTGCGCATACATCAGTGCTTAATTAGGTTTTCATGACCACTTTACGGTTCACTGTAAAGCTCCCTGAGAGCAATGGTGTGGATAAAATCACAAATCTATGCTCATGAAGTTCAAACCCAGTCTTTTTCTACTGTACTTAATATATGACAGGGTGTGCCATCCATAATACATGCCCTTGTCCAGATCAAGATCCCACAGAAAGGCTTTGTGTGATGTCCTGACAAGTCTAGCTTCTTGGATCAAAGACACCTGAGAAGTCTGGTGTAACGAGTGAGACAGAAGAGAAAAAATCAGAGGTGAGGGACTGACTGACTGACTGACTGACTGAAGGTCTGTCATTTGCATTTATAAATTTGCTGAAGGCCTCACAGGAGCAGTCCTGTAGGAAGCGGAAGGTCTCTGCCGTGGTGGGAATTTCTCCACCACTGGCTCTGCAGAACAGTGTTCTTTCTCACTCTCCATGATTTTAAAATCATTCAAAAGAAGCAGCCCTTCCCACTCCTCCCCATTTCAATTTAAGTGTTACTTTCTATCTGTATTACACATAAATTAATCTCTAAAATTTAACCCTGTAATTTCTATATTGCATACACACTCGTTGAACTTATTGACGCAGTTTTTCTTCTGCTACAGTGCCTGTATTAATTAGCTTCTTAGACTGCTCTGTGTCTTCTCACCTGTAACTAAATGATCGTTTTGATCATGACAGAAGCTAAGAAAGAGATTTATTGTGTAAAACAAGTGCTCTTACTTAAGCTGTGGTGAGATTTCTCAGTGAGGCTCAGTGCTGTAAGGATGAACGTTGAACTTTGCGCATGCCTTCAATGGGACAAGCTCCAGTTATGCAGCATGCTTAGGAGTTTGCAGGATTGGGTACAGCATATACAGAGCTCATAAGATTGAGTTTGACTTTGTTTCCATTTTTTGCCTGTTTTCCTAAGAAAACCAGGCATCTCTGATCAAGCACGGGAGAAGTAATCTGTCTTTCTAACTGTGTGTTCTCCCACCACTAGTAACTTTCAAAAGAAATGGCTAAGGAAAGCTTGATGAAGGAAAGCTTGCTGAAGAAAGTTGGACGGCATTGACGGCAATACCAAAAAGGGATTTATATTTTATAAACACACTTTGCAAGCACTGCGCAAACTACATGACACCTGTTCAGGAAAGTAGGCAGATTACACCAGCCCTTACATTATAGTTGTGAAAAAGACATAAGGGACATTTTAGTTTTACCTGCCAAAAACAGGTACTTGACTTAGTTTTGAATACTTTTGGTCTCAAAGCACCTGGTTGAAAAGAATGGAGCATGTTCCTGAAGGATGGTTCCCTTTGGTTGCAAGAGGAGCTCAGCGGCTCCCTGATGAGTTAGGTACTCCTACCCTTGCAGAGGGTGGTGATAAAACTCCCTTCAACCCTGGTGACATTAAGATGAGACAAGAAGTTTAACCCCTGGGCCACCGTGCCGTGATAAAGGGCTTTCTCTCTCTCTTCTGAAGTCCCTGGAAGGTTTGCTAATGGCGGGAGTGTAAAAGTGCAGTTCATTAACCACCAGTTCCTGCCATTAGGGTGGCTGAGCAAGGCACTGCTCCAGGCGACAGACTGCCCTTGCCACAGGCTGTTTTCCCCATAAAGCTATCGCCAGCCTCAGCCTAATGGGCTTTGTCAATTAGTTGGGGTGTGGAAAGGAAACACGCTGGATTTGCCAGCATTTGAGCAGCATCAAGAGCCAGAAGCTCTTGCAAAAGATGCAGATAGCAATAAAACACGCTCAAGACTCTTCAACCTAGATGTGCTAAATCCTGCTG